GTGTGACTTGGATAAAGACCATATAGGTTGAAGAAGGAAGGTCAGGGGGTGGGGTGTGATAGGGTGAGGAGTGGTTTTTTTCAGCATTATGTACACAAAATAAAATTCATTGAAGGCTTTTGATTTGAGGACAACAGTGTCCACAATTATCCTAGCATAATAACAGCTATATAGTGCATTCCTTAGTGTCATGTTGAATAAGAACTTGTTCACAATGTGAAAATAGACTGGAAGAAGAAAGGGCTGAAAGTAGAAATACAGATACTGCATATATTGGTGGTGGAAACTTGATCTAAGAAGGTAATGGTGGGTGTGTGAAATTGTCTCTACTTGCTCTTCCAGGTTTGTTTTCCATTTCCTCCCTCCTGGCCTTCACCCTCTAGATGTATAAATTGCATCAAATAGGCTCACCTGCCCTTTGGTTTCTGGCTGGGTTTGGCTACTTACACAAGACAGATGTAGTAGAAAAGAGAGATTGGAATATTTGTCCTTTGGTTCTCTCCCTGCGGGGCTTCAGTTTGGTTATGCCACCAAAGCCTTATCTCAGTTCTGGTTCCTCTCTTATAGCTTTTGCTGTCTTAGTAACCACTCCCTCCCAGGAAACTTTAGCCCTAGTGATTGATCACTTGCAATCATGTGTAAACCTCTTTAGGACTCTCTCTTCAGTTACTCTCACCTGAGTGGGCCTCTGACCTGTTCTGTTGGGACTGAAATGAAGTAACAGAGATATGAGACTTGAGGAGGCAGAGCTGGGAGGTCTTGTAAATGAACTGGACATGAAAGCCAATAAGGTGGAAACTTATGGCATAGGTCACTGGGAAAATGGCTGTGGTAGATTTAGTGTAAGTGTCTCTGAGAAATTATGGGAAGATGACCAGTAGAGCTGGAAATGTAACTTGAAGTTTAAAGCAGAGTTCCAAACTTGTAACCGATGCCAAAAAATTTGAGTTGAATAATAGTTTGAATTCATAAGAACTGAAAGGTTTTCTGAGGAACAGAGATGGAGAAAAGGATTGTTGAGGAATGAAAAGGAGATGAGGCCAAGAGATACCTGTGTAGATTCCTGATAACTTGATGTCATCACAGATGGATTAGAACATGAACATGAGGGACTAAGACACTATGGAGAGTGATTGTAATGGGGAGATGAGTCTTTGCTCACAGTTATCTCAGATGGCAAGTAGAGCTGTCTGTCACCTGGCAGAAGCAGGAGGGAGAGCAATGGCCCTGGAGCCATAGGAGAGTGTTACCAGCTACCAAGACATTTCTCAGCTATCCATTAAATGGGAGTAGATGTGGAACTTAGATCATTTGTAGACCCAAACTTCAACTCTTTACTTTTTAGCTACCTGGGTCAAATACAGAGGCTTTATTATGTAATCTCAGATGGTCCAAGAGAAAAGCATAAACTTCAGTGAAAGGAAGGACAATTGGAAATAGACTCATTCATGTGGAAAAACTTTGAAGGAACTACTGGTCTTGTGTTATAAATCAACAGGAAGGCTAAGGAAGCTAAGTGTAATAAGCATTTTAGCTGACATTTGGAATTACCCTTTGTCTTTTTAGAAGTGTAAAGGGCAGAACACACCACTTCTGAATTTTGCAAACCACTGGGAGGGAGAAGTTGCATGGTTCCCCTCGCACCCCTAATTGTGATTCTTAACCTTTTGCAGATAGTCACTCATCCTCATTGAGGAATTGAAGAAAGTTGTGGACTCCTTTCTCAGAAACGTATGCCAACATGTTCACTCACACACACAAACACACACACACATGCTCATGTGATATCATATACAATTACAAGGGTTCTAATCTTTTCACTCTCAATGCCAGATACATAAAAGGTGTTCAAGAATTATTTATTAAATGATTTAGGAAAATAAATGAGTGAGAATTATGCTTCTACAAATTCATGGTCAAATGCAAATTCTTTAGCTAGAAAGATCTTGGCATCCATTAATATGAATGCATATTATGAATTTATTGTATTTCATAAGACATTACTATGATAATGGTTTTCAGTTTCACCTGCACATTACAATTGATGGGGGATGTGGGGAGTTTGTAGAAATAGTGATGTCTGAGGTCCAACCTAGAACAATTGTCTAAAAATCTAAGGGTGTGTGGTACTGGTGTCAGTATTGTTTATAAAATTCTTCAGATGATTCTAATGTGTAGCTAACACTGAATTTAGTATAGCAGGTTAAAGATGGAATCATTTAGATCCAGCAATTCTAGGGGCCTCCATGGTGGCGCAGGGGGTAAGGTGCAGTACTGTGTAACTATTGGCAGCCACTACGGCACCAGTTTGATCCCGGCCAGGGAGGTGGCCCACATGGTGCAGCAGACCTCTCCTCTGTCTTTCTTGCTGTTCCCCTCAGCAGTGTATTTCCATAGATCATCTGTACTGTTCCCCACCTTGTCTCTGTGGAATCCTCTCACCACCACCCCCACCTCTTGCCTGTACCTCAAGTTCTTATATGTACAATTAAATAAATCTTAAAAAAAAAAATAGACGCGGCCGTTTTACTTCTTGGTATTTACTCATAGAACACAAAAACACTAGTTCAAAGGGATATATGTACTCCTATGCTCACTGCAACACTATTTACAATAACCAAATTTTGTAGACAACCTAAGAGCCCAAGGACAGATGAGGGGATTAGGAAGATATGGTATAGATACACAATGGAGTAGTTATTTAGCAAAAAGAGATAAAATGTTGCTATTTGCTATAACATATATGGCACTGGGAGGGATAATGCTAATAAGAAAGAAATCAGAAGGAAAAAGACAAACAATTCACTAATTTGGACTACAAAGAACAAAGGACAAAACAAATGAATAGTCTAAATAAATCCTAGAAGTAAGAACATACAACTGTGATTAGAGGGGCATGATATGGGGTGAGTAACAAAGTGGGGAGGGGCCCAATGAACCCTATGGTCAAGGATTATGGGTGTTTCTGTGGTAGGTGTGGTATGGTAACATATATCTGAAGAGGTGTGAATCTACTTCCCTAAGTCATATACTGTTGTAAACCAATGTTACCTAAAAAAAAGTTACAGAAAAATAACAATAACAAAAAGCTCCTCTCATAGCAGAGAGAAGAAATATGAAGAAATGGGTAAAATAACTAAGTTTCATAGAGGAAGTCAGGTCAGGAACCATAATGAAAATGATAATGTCTTCCAATTACACAGCACATTACATATCTCTGTCACATCCATGAACTCATTCTATTCCAAGATTTACACGGTTAAGACAAGCAGGTACTGGCATTTGTTCTAAATTTGCCAGATTGACCCTTTCAGGATAATCTCAGGAGTTCTTCCCTTCAAAGAACCCAACTTGAAACTTTGGATTGGGGTCCGGTTTATCATTTTATAAACACATGGATGATTCCACATCAAGTGGCATTAAGTTGGAGGTGAACTAAGAGAATCACCTGAAGAGATATGCACATACATGTGCTCCATCCCAGATCTGTGAAATCAGTAGTAGAAGTGATGAGGGAGAGTAATGTAGAAAATGCTTGATCTTGGTGGTATAATGGGTTAAAGTGCAGCACTCTGAAGCTATCAGCAGTCACTACAGCACGGGTTTGATCCCTGGCCAGGGAGCTGACCTACATGAAACATCAGACTTCTCCTGACCTGCCCACTGCTTCCTTCAGCAGTGTATTTTGTCTATCTGCCTGTTCTGCTCCCCACTCTGTCTAGTGAATCCTCATACTACCCCTACACCCTAGTTCTGGATACATAAATAAATAAATCCTAAGAAAAGAAAATGCTTGATCCTGATCCAACTTTCAACTATGCTGAGAGCCCACCAGCATGGGCCACTTCCTGGCTGCACAGTCAGCTTGCTAAAGTGGTGAACTCTGAGCAGCCAGAGGACTGGGCTGTGAGGAGAGACTGGCAGATGGGAGCAGGGCAGGAGATCAGATACTGAAAGTATACAGGAAAGTGCTAAGAGCAGGTGGGGATGACAAAAACAAGTGTTGTTTACTTCAGTTTTGCCAGGCCTGGCCCTGGTACAAATGTACTGAAGACAAGTTAGGAGGGTCCAAAACAGAGCAGTTTCTAAATCATTTGTGTTTTTTCCCCTATCTCAGGCACATATGTCAACCCTGAAAGTGCCAGGTGCTTGTTTCTGTTGTATGTGGTACATGAAACTACCTTCAGGGCAGGGGGAACCTCCTTTCACAAAGATCCTGGTGGCAGTTCAGCAAGGCTGCTTGCACATGATGATGGAAATAATAGTAGGGCAATGTCTGTGCCTACGCATCAAAAGACAGAACAAGCAAATCTGTTAGAAAGGATACATAGTACCTCTCTTTTCTGAAGTACTGAATAGATAAGTCTCAGTCATTCCCCTTTAAATAGAAAGCACTTCAGTAAATGCTGGCTATGATCTTTCTTTCAACTGCTTCTGGGTTTTGCTCTCTTTGGGTTACTGATCTTGGGGTCTGATTTGGGCTGCTTTGGTCATGTATACTGATACAGACTCCCTTTTCTTGTACTGAGATAGTGCACGTGCCATGATTGTCATCATTAAGGGGTCACGTGGAATTACTCTGCTTTGGAAAATATGACAGAAAGAAGAGTCATGGTGTAAAGATACTGAAAGGATTTTCCTAGTAAAATATTTAAAGGTTTATCTCTGTACACTGTGAGCAAGTGACAAGCATTAAGATGGAAAGGAAAAAGGGTGTGTGTGTGTGTGTGTGTGTGTGTAAAAGCCAAGGCTCTGCCTGATGTCCTCTAACTCTCCATCCTTGTATTTTCTCAATAACTATGTTGCCAAATAACCTAATGTGACAGTTTTGCTCTGGATATGAGAGAAGGGGATAGAGGAAGAATGAATTATACTTGCTCTGTCATGTGTATAAACTCTTTATCAATGCTAGGGCTGTATCTTTAATAACTCCATCATTCCCACCTGACACTCATAGAGTTGCTAACTTGTATAACATCAAACTTGAGACAAGTCCTCACCTGGACCGCCCAGTGGAGAGCTGTTTTAAAGTCTTTATCCACAAGAGTGGGATCTGCCCCCTTCTTCAGCAGCATTTGTGTATGTTGAGGCTGGTTGTGGAAAGCTGCCCAGTGGAGTGGTGTCATTCCCTGCAAAAGCACAAGCAGAGGAGCAGAGATGAGCATAGGCTATTAGGAAAGAAAATAGAATTCATACTTTCTCCCAAGGCCCAAGGGATGCTACCAGGTATGCAGGTTGCTGCCTGTCTATTCATTCATTCCTTAAACATTCATTCAGAAGATGTTTATTGAGCTTCTGCTTTGTGCCAGGCAAGCAGGTGTTGAGGATACTAGAAAATGAATAAGTAAAAAAATTTCTTGCCCTTAGGGAAACTGAACTTTGGTAGAGGAAGATAGGCAGTGAATGTGCACAAGTGGATCAGAGGACTTTCCAGATTGCTGGCTGCTGTGGAGAGGGCACATATGGTGTTGAAACAGGTAGAGACTGTTCTACATGGGCTTCTGTGAGGTGGACTGGAGAAAGAGAAAACAAGCATCCAATTCATGGAAAGAGGAGCTAGAGACAGAAGTCATGCTAGAATGTCATCTCCCACCATGAGGCAGAGACACTGTTCAGTGCAGTATTCCCAGTGACTACAATGGAGACTAGAGAGATGCTGAGTTATGAAAGACTGGGGGAGAGGAGAGCCCTGTGAGATAAGGCAGGAGGGGGAGGCAGAGGTTAATCCTGGGAGTTGGGTGATGCATGATCCATCCTTAAATGGAATCTATATAAGGCATAAGTATTTTATTCTAAAGCCAATGGAAAGATAATGAAAGTTTTTCAAGCAGATGATCTGCTTTATACTGTTTAGAAGCAAACATTCTGGTAATGTGGAAAACAGACTGGAAGCTCTTTCAGAGCTTAAGGTCATACATTTTAGACATCATTTAATAAAATGAGCTAGACCTGTACTTTTGGGGAAAAAAACAATTAAAAGATGGCCTTTTATCCTTGCCTACTCTTCTCAATTACATGAAACATATTACTCTAAATTAAGACAACCGGTAAAGGGAGCAAAGAGCATAAACATATTTACAGCTTCTCTTTTTATAGTAAGCTGGGCAGCTAACATAAAGATAGGAGTCACTACTCCTATCACTACTACAAGTCACTACTTAGACTCTGCTCTGTCCAAGATAAGCTAAGTGGAGATGGATCTCAGCCTGGTTAGTTAGGATTACAGAGGAGTACAGTACTGTAGCTCAGAACAAATATTCATTGATCCAGAGATGTGTGATTCTTACATGTCTCCCTTAAACCTCTAAACAATCCTGTGGGTTAAATATTGCAGTGAGATAGCACAGCCAATCAGTCTACATTCCCTAGCCTTCTCTGCAGATTGCTGTGCTCCAGGAAATTGAATCCTGGCCATTGCGAACAGAACGGATGGGAAGTTCCTTTAGACCTGCCTAGGAAACAAAATCCATGCAGTCTTATACCTTCTTTCTTTCCTCATCTGACAGCTGAGTGCAGAAGGAATGCCATTGAACTGAAAGAACCATGTAAGGAAATAAAGGTATAGATAAAAAAAGAAGAAGAATTAAAAAGAAATGGTGCTGGAACCATGTGATCAAAAAGCTGAGGAACCTCACTAACAAAATAGAACAGGTCCACCCTGGTAAGCCAGCACAGGAGTATGATGTGAGAAAGAAATGAATTTTTATTGTGTTAGGCTATTGGGGTTTTAGACATCATTTAATAAAATGAGCTAGACCTGTACTACAGCAGGCAGTCAACTCAGACAGGTGCTACTGTCCTTTTTGTTTTACAGAAGAAGAAGCAAGGCTCTAGAGAAATTCCTTAGTTTGTGAATAAACAGGCAATTTAAACAAGAATTTGAGGTTTGTGAGGCACTGGGGTTAGAATGTTAATTCCCTTTAACCAGTTCCATATTTCAAATGATTAAATTATGGCCTGCTTTGACATTTCCAGGCTCAGTTCATATACTACTGAGCATCCAGAGATACACTTCAGGGTTCTGAGAATATTTCATTCCTGACAGGAAAGAATGCTATATAAAAGCAGTAGAATTACTGTTCTTATTTTGAATGCTAAATATTTACTTGGGATTCAGTCAGCTTAATGCATTTCAATAGGTCATCTTCATTTTTAATTTGAACTGCTAGAATTAGAAATCTAAACTTAAGGAATCAGATGCCTTTTGTTATGGATGGATTTCCCCTTTCTGCTAGATCCCATTGGCTTCATTATGAAGCATTGCCAGAATCCAGAGTTAAAGACATCAAAGGCTATTTTGAAGCCACTGGAGTGTAAGCTTTGATGTCACAGGAAGGTAGGGTACTTGTTTGCCTGTGTGAATTCCTGGAGTCTAAATTCTCACTGAGTGTTTTGCTTTTGTAAAATCTGAATTTTCTCTTAAAAATTAGACACACAAGACAGAACCTGATTTCTCATTTGTAGAAAATGAACTTGTCTGATATGTTTATTTAGTTTTTGAACAAAGAGTTCTTAGTTTCACTGATTTTTTTTATAGTTATTAATCACTATTTCATGTATTCCTACTCTTATTTTTATTATTTCTTTCTTTCTACTAACTTTTAGTCTTGTTAGTTCTTTTATTTAGGGATAGTATTAGTTGTTTGTGCCTTTTCTTAAGGGGACTTTTCTTAGTCCCCTAAAAACTCCTCCATCTTACAGATTCTGGTAGTTTCCACCATCAGTTTCATTTCTTTCAAGGCTGATTCCTTTTTTATCTAGCTTTTAAGCAGCATGTTGTTTAATCTCCATAGATTCATAATTTTCCCTGTAGTTGATTTCTAATTTTATGGCAATATGGTCAGAGAAAATACTAGATATAATTTTAATGACCGTAGTTTAATTGGAATTGATTTGTGTTCCAACAAATTGTCTATCCTTGACAATGTTTCATGCTCACTTGAGCTTCATAGTGCTGCACTTTTAACCGGCTGCACCACCAGGGAGAGCCTTCCATGTGCACTTGAAAAAAAAATGTGTATGCAGCAGTTTGTGGGTAAAGTGCAGCAGTTTGTGGGTAAAGTATTTTACAGATGTCTATCAGACCTATTTGGTCTAGCTCTTCATTTAAGGTTATTATTTTCTTACTTATTTGTCTTCTTGATATGTCCATTGCTCTAAGTAGAGTCTTAAAGTCCTCTAGTATTATTGCATAGTTGTGAACATCTCTTTATTTTTGTTATTGTTTTATGTATCTTGGTGCACCATCATTCAATGCATATGTGTATTATTTCTTGCTGTAATTGATCCTCAATCATTTGTGTATGTTTTCATCTCTGAATAACTTTCTAAATTGGAAGCCTATTTAAGAGATAGAAGTAGGCCTTCCCTGGTGGTGCAATGGGGTAGGACACAGCACCGCAAGCTAGCTACAGCTGCTTTAGCGTGAATTGGATCACCTGCCCCGATGACCCACATGGCATGGCAGACCTCTCCTGATCTGCCTGCTGCTCCCCTCAGCAGTGTACTTCATCATTCTGCCTGTTCTGTTCCCCACTCTGTCTCTGGTGAATCCTCTTACTGCCCCTGCACCTCTGTCCTGCACCCCAGTTCTGTATGCATAAATAAATAAATCTTTAGGGGAAAAAAAGAGAAGTATAATTGTCCTTGATCTTTTTGGTTTCATTTGCTTGTATAAATGTCTTCCAGCCTTTAATGCTAAGTCTATGTTTGTTTTCATTGGTTTGATGGGTCTCTGGTAAATAGCAGAAGTTTGGACTGTTTTGAAACCCATTCAGTAACTGTGTTTTTCGACTGGTGAAACCAGGCCATTTACATTTAAGGTGATTATTAAGACAGAAGTACTCATTGACATTTTGTCAGGTTTTTGCTTTTTAGTTTTTGGGGTTTGTCTTGTCTTTTCTATTTTTTGAGGTCTTCCTGTTATTTTTGTTCAGGTTCTATTTCCATTGCCTTATGCACTACTCCTATTGATTTTTGTTTGAGGGTTCTGCAGAGGTTAGTATGTGATAGGCTATTTGGGTGGCCCATTGGATGATCTGTTCTCTGACATGTTCTGCTGGGCCACACTCTTAATTTCCTCTTCTTTTTCCATGTTAAGTGTGCTAGGTGTATGTTACTTTTATGTTAGTTGTCTTGTTGACTTCTAATGACCCCTTTAAATTTTATGTGCAGCTTAGTGTTGGTAACATTTTTAGTCTTTGATTTTCAGTGAAAACACTCACTCTTCCTTCTGTCTTGAATTTTAATCTTGGTAGAAAGAAGGTTCTGGGCTTCTCTTTAAAGTACTTTAAGTGTCTCATTATTATAATAGGATAAGCCAGTGATAAGGACAGAATATTAAAAACATCAAGAGAAAAATAGGTAAGCTGGAAAAGCATGCCACTCAGACTGTTAACAGAATTTTACTAGAAACATTACAAGCATGAATGTTTGGTATTATTTTGTTTGGAACTCTTTGGGCCTTTTGAATCACATCTAGTTTGTTTCTCAGATGGGGATGATTTTCACAATTACTTGTTTAAATAACATTTCTATGAATAGCTCTTCTTTTGGGCCCCATGACATGTACATCGTCTGTCTTTAAGTTATCCCAAAGTTTTCTTGCACTATTTTCAATTTTTACATTTTTTTCTGTTTGCATGCCCTCCAACATTGTGTTTCCAAGTTCATTAATTGTCTTCATAGCTTCTATCTGTTTGGTATTGACCCTTAATAAAAATAATTTAGCCCTAGTGTTTCTGAGCTCTATTATTTCTAAGTGCAGTTGTCTCACATTTTCTTTATTCTGTTTCTGTTTTATATCCTCCATTGTGTTTTGAGTCCATAAACATTGTTATAACTGCTCCCTTGAACTTCTCTTCAGTCATATTCAGTCATGTTCTGCAGTTCTTCTCATGTCCACTCTCCTGTAGGTTGTTTCTGAACAGTAGATGCAGAACTGGGCACAGATTGAGGCTCACAGGCTGGGGGCTGTTCTCTTTTCCAGCACAGAGCCTTATGCTATAGTGTTTGCTTTTGTTATTAACAGGTGCTTGAGCTCTAGTTTATTCACATGTTTCTTTATTACTTTGGTTTCAGTACTGGGGTAGTGGGTGGTAGGTGTTTTGCATATCCCAGCCTTGGCTTC